GCAAATTTCGCTGAATTTACCTCGTATTTTTTCATTCAACTAGGCAGAAAGCGACCAGGCGTTCTACCCCGGCGTTGATCGCGTGATTCCTCAACTCGAGAGGGTGGATTCGGACAGCAGCGTCGTGGCGAACGTCATGCTGCAGCACGCCGCGCCACAGGAGACCGCAAAAGTTCGCTCTTCCTAGTGCAGTTGCGGCGACAGTGGTGGAATCACGCTTAGTCTCTCGACCGCTGTCTCTCTGACTTGTAGATAACCTCCCCACCATCCTACACACACACACACACTCCTTCTCGCTCAGGAGGTAGCGAATGCTCCTCGGAATGTTCGTCTTTCTGATGGCCGTTCAACTAGATCCACACTTGCACACAGATAACCAAAATCACCGTGCACCTCTGTGTTGACTTCTCTCTCTCTTTTTTATTCCTTTTGCTTCATTGAATTGGTGGAATTCGAAGAACCACCGTCAATAGATCTTCAGGGAAGTGCATCATCGGAGGGAAATGTACACCTTCGATTCGTTGTTCTCCTTCCGTTTTATTCTGGGTGGGTGTTTTGCGCTCGCCGTAGCTGCCCACCCGCACTTTGAGTTGTCGATTTATTTGTCCTTTCGTTTCCACTCCGCCTTTACACAACTTCAGGCGGGGTGAAACGCCTTTGTGCACTCGACTCCACATCAGCTAGAGATTCTTTTGGTACGTACACAATTCGTGACGAGGCGGGCGCTTACTCCTGATCAATTGTCTTTCAGTTTGTTCCTTGTCAGTGGCCACCCCGTACGCCTTCATTGAAGGGGTAACCGTGGCTCTCTCTCTCCCTCTTCACCCCCCTCCCCTCCCAGTAAGCGATTTCCGCAGTCACTGTGAAAGCATAAGTAGTCTCGGACGCCTGCAACTGCGGTTTTTCATTGGTTGCCAGAGTCTTTCACCGTCCTTACTCCTTCCACTCACCACGAACACACACACATACGCGCATCGCACTGTCTGTGAGTCCAGCAAAATGTGAACAATCAAAGCGTTGAAGCAATTGTGATATGTATGTACACACACCCACGCACGCGCGCGCATGCGCAATGCAGAGAACATGCATATCTTTTGGTCGCCCTATTTCTCGCTTTTGTCTTCAATTTAAAACCCCCGCTCCCTTCCCACTTTCCCGCAGATGAGACTACTTTAATGTATTTCCTCTAAAGTACCGCCCACTCTAAGGAAGCCTTGTTTCTGCTCAAGTTGTTCGATGTCGATTTGGGGCCTGACTGGATTGGTTTGTTGGGTTTATCGGAGCGGAACACGGTCAGCGCTCTCGACGGTACTGAGTTGCTTACCTCGGGCTTAGGGTTCAGCCGAGTTCCACGTACTACATGTCTTTTATTAGAACAGACAAATGGTTTCTTTGATCTTCGGCGTGGGAGCGTAGTTTGAAGGCGGTGGGTGATGGGTGTGTGGGAAGGTAACATGGGAGTCCAATTTGTGACCACGACAGACACCTTTGAAGACACACGTGATGCAACCGGGTCAGTGTTGAGTGGTGAGATGAGGTGCAAGTGCCTGATCGCGTACCTCAGCCCCTGTTAGTCACTTTCTAGGTTAGGAGATTGCTCGAAGCGAGCAATAAACCATCTGATCTCCGAGTGCTGCGAGAGGTTGTTGTGATTATGCGACGTTTACAAATATGCAGGGATGATTATTGCGAGTCATGTGCGCACCTTCGGAAACTGCTAGTTCACGTGAATAAAATATTGAGTGCCGCTCTTTAATCTTATTGGATGGCCTTGTCCTACATTGATAATTTAACTTGCAGTGTTCACACCAGTAATCTAGCCAAAACTCTTGCATTTTACATCTACCATATCATCAAATCTTACAATAAATTTCCATGTGAATGCCTATTAATGTGGAATTTGAGCAAATGCAAATGATGTTCTCGTATTCCGGTAGGTGAGCGGGTAGGTTTTTCGTTTCAGGGCGAAGATTCACATGTCTTTTCAAGATTGAACACATTTTGAAGGTCATCTCATGTCAAATGATTGTACCAGTGTAGGGTAGTGTGTTGCTAGTCGAAATTTGCCTTTTTAATGTATCTAAATAGGACGTCGAGTGTATGTCGAAAACGGTCCATCTCAAGGTCCGTTAATTGGCTACCCGCAACGGTCAGTGTTTCACACAAGACGCCCACAATTTTCGATATCACAAAAATGACCCCTATAATATACGGATACCTGCAAACCACACTCCGATTTTCGTGTTGCGGTGTAGCGGATAACTACGGATTTTCACTATCTAACCACAAGAATGATCGAGATTCTAGTCTGGTGTTTGTCGTTACCTAATTGGATTACCCAGCGAAGGGAGTTGGTGCATTAATTCGTGTAAGAATGACAAATCCAAACTTCTACACAATCAGAAACAGCCGAAACGACGTCAGCGATTGGTTTGCTGTGTGTGGAGCAGCTGAAAAAAAATCGATGAAATCGAATTCGCGCTGAAGTGGTGTTTTACTCTGAGTTGAAGTCATGTGAATCACAGTGCACGAATTCTGTGGCGCGTGGTTTAAACTCCCTTAAAACTTTCACCGTGTGCGAAAGTAAAGACGACTTACAGGCAGCCACAGAAATACGCACTAGGAATTACGGAACCCCACATCCGGCCGCATAAATGCGCCATCACTACAGCGTGCACATTTTTAGCTTGCATTGATCGGTCACGTTGATATGTGCATGGAAAATAAACTGCTGCGCTCGTGTTATGCCAAGTCCCTCATCCATTCACGTGTGTGTGCAGTTTGCATTAAAGCCAGTTCTTCAAAATCACCAGAATGCAGAATCACCTGCACTCGACAGTCGGTTGGACAACCAAGTGACGATGTCATAATTCTAAACGGATGAAGAACCAGCTAGGTCGGACATCCGAGTCAGACTACCTACTTCCTTTTGTTGTACTCGGGAGGAAATGAGCGACTTTTGCGTTAGCAAAGCACGAACAAAAGAAGAAACGAGGAGTGGGGCAGTGCCTCGATCGCTGATTGGTTTGTTATCCAAATTATTTGGCGCGAGCTTTCTGCTTGGATTAAACACAGCATTTAGGATGGTCATTTTGCTACGAACAAACACGATGCTGGAGTTTAATTGATGACAGTCGAGATAAGACCTTGAAGCTGGCTTACACATTGGAGGGTGTCGTGTTAGTTCACGTACGTTAGCTTAGTCGACACCTTCCACTCGTCCGTTCTGTGCCACGCGTACGTCTATAACTCATAATGCACACAACCCTGGATGAACGCACGACCCAAGTGAGTTGAGCCATCCGGGAAGGGGTGGTTCGTCATTTTGATTTTCGGCAAACGAAAGTCACCTAACAACGGAGTTATCGTCGGTTGGCAACCACTTCGAACTGTTCCAAATTCCATTTCGTACGTCTACCTGCTACAACGAGTTCAAATCTTTTCAAGCAAGCGTCCTACTCTTCAAGCCCTATTCACAACAGGCTTTAATAATTGGTTAACTGTGATTCAATTTCTCAAGGTCATTTCTGGGGTAATCACATTAGTTTGGCCTTGAGACAAAGAAATTGCGCCTAATTTAAACCGAAATTCCAGAAACGCCAACATCTGTGGTCCGATTTGAGGTAGATGAAGCGAGTCGTCTAAGCTCTAACTGGAATGCCTTTTCGTGTGTTTTGACGGCGTCAGGATCGTATGCCTGACCTTCTGGTATGATTTAAGAACGCGTTCAAAATTGGTTTTTAGTCACGCAGACAGATCTGCTTGTTTCGTAGCGTTAGCCAGACCGTACGTCTGTTGTATGCATATGGCTAAATAGTAGAATTAATTTTGCACAAAATTTCAGACCAAAAAATCAACATTTTTTTAATAATCTCGAAAAATCGATTCCAGGGGTTTGGAACAAATTCATGCTCCGTTTCATACGGAACAGCCCTGGCAGACAATAAAGTGCAGTGGCTCAACCAATGTTCCTTCAATTCAATAAAACTAACGACTCAAATTACTGCAATTCATTTAGCAGTTCGCACATATTTTATTTTGGCAATTACGTCAACTTCAACCAGGTGTGTGAACGATGGCATAAACGAATTCCAATATACATGTTTACACTCCAATTTGATGATGAAACTGAAAAACACTATGGCAACAACACAGTATTTTTGATCGACCGGTTTAAACGACATATTGTGGATTTTTGTATTTGCCACTCCTTGTTTTACTAATGTGGTTCGCTGAGCGCCACAACTGATCAAGGCCCCGCGCAAAACTAATATATGCACGTTTTTATGACATTTCTGGCAAGTTGTGTTGTTTACAGGCAAAAGATTCCGGTGTGTTCGACTCAGGTCTCATAATACAAATATCGTTCCGAGGTGATGCCTGCGTATATGCCTTCTCCATCTGCCAATCAAATCACACAACTTTAGCGGCACATTCAAACAAGATCTCAAGCAACTGCACTAATCCTTAGCCCCTTGGCTGCTAATTCGATGAAACCGGTTTCACCGTGGATCAGATTGTCACATGTTTACAAGGCCTTCTTTTCGCTTGCATAGTTCTCGTGTTACCATGGTCTTCTTAAACCTTCAAACGTATTTTTCTACACACATTGGTTCCGAAGATGAAGAAAACCGACATTTTAATTTGGTCCCCTCATAAAATAGAATAGTGATTAATCATGGTGAACGCTACATGAAGCTCTTTTGCTCTGTTGGTGAAATATCTAGCAACTGGAACTTATTTTGATTCGAATTTAAGCAACTCTACAAGTTTGGATGACAAGCAACCAATTTTTCAATGGGCAATTAGGGCATTTGATGATGCATAACATAAACTATTAACACGACTGATTTTAACAAAACATTTTGTAGAGGCTTTTTAGCAAGATCAGACACATTTTCATGTGATCCGGCGAAGTCAGATCGTTTAGACACTGAATTACGTAAAATTATCTCCATCTGTTGTGCCACCCTGTTGTAAACAATGACAGGTCTCTACGTCTAGAGGCCTTGAAACCAGACTTTAAGACGTAGACAATTTTGCTCACTAGGAGGAAAGTTAGAGGAAAGGCCATCAACTCACACCCATTTCTAAGTAACAAACTGACCATTCCATCAACAAGTTCAACCTCGAAAGGTCCAATTATTTATTGGTAAATAAAATGGCAATTAGTAACTAGTACTTAGTAGACATTTTCTCATTTTGACCCGCATTCCTTCTTTGTTTGTAGTTGTTAATCTTCCAATTTGCTATTTCCTGTTGTTAAAATCTTATCATCTTTTAAGAATATTTGATCTGTTTTGGAATTCCATGGAATCCCTAGTGTGTGTGTGTTCCTCGTCAATTTTCTGACTGTGAGAAAATTTTGGCAAGATTGCGTATTCGGAAGAGCATTGTACTGCTTAAAGTGTTCAATAATAGTTCGCAAAAGATTTAGCATGACTGCTTTGGTCCTATACGCCTTTCATTGGTGAGTACGGAAAATTTTGCATGATGTATGTAGACGTGACGTCATGATATCTTCCTCCCCATAATGGTCTCTCAGTAATGAAGACTTCTTGTTCGATGCGAGATGGGTTTGTGGCATTTCCAACCATGAATTCCGTGGACAGATGGGTTCGCAGGTTTGCTTCATCCGTAAGAAGTAGAACCGAGTTTCATTTCAACAGAACACTCAACCGCTATTTGAAGGTCTGTGTTGAGTCGTAGAACGATTTTCTTCCTGGAATAACTGAACGCCAGAGTCTACTAGATGATTCACAAGTACTGAGCAAAATGTTTCTACCATTGGTGTCGCCAAATCAGCCCAAAATTGTTATTTTGATTGAAGGAAAGTGAATTTAAATGGAGGCGCCGTGAATACATTCGTTGTCGTCCAACATCTGCCAAACGTTCCGCCATGCAAATATCGCAACCACGGTGCTGAATGGTTACATGGATTGCGTCGCAAAATATCGACATGGAGCGCATTTCCATTCACAAACAGGATACAGTGGCGTTCATGCACATAATTGAACACGAAATGGAAGCAGGCTGAACAAGGCATTGTAAAAAATTACTGTCAGCATTTTGGCGACCTAATCGAGTTAGGCACACACACAAAACCGTCGTCAATCAGCAAATCCCGACTACTTTAAAGTTAGACTACAAGATTGGGATATGAGAGAGATATTACGGAGTTCCAAAGGACTGGCTGGAGTGTTGAGAAAGTATATGAATGTCAAGGATTTTGTTTAAATTGGGCCTGATTTTCGCAAAATGAGTGACTTATTTGAAATCTGTGTAACTGAATTTGCAGCGTGGACTAGTAAGAAACTTCCACGTCCTCTTTCTGGTGTCACAGCTTTTCTTCTCTCTCCTAGAAGTATTCACAGCATTAACGTCACAATTTTGAGTTGCCAGTAAACGAGGTAATTTTTGTAGAGGTGCATTGCCAGGTGAAAACTCCGTTTACCTCGATTCGCTTGTCATCGGGCTAATTGCCAGTTAGCCGTCGTGGGAAGGGAGCACTGATTCGACCTGCTCGGAATGCTAAATGACGTGTGTTTTAATCGGTTGACACTCAGCAGGCGGCACATTCAAGGGGAAATGTAACGCCACACACACACACGTAAACACACAAAGTTAAAAAGCTTAATGCAATAAAGCCTACACCATACAGTGTACCAGCCAAATTAGATAGTAGCAGCAGTAGAGTTATCATTAAGTCCTATAAGTTAGTTCCGAATACACTTGAATTTGGTCGGTCTGGAAAATGTGTCAAAACTCAATAGGTGTCTGTTAGGTGCAGGATAAAATGTTCACAGATAAATCAGCAAATTTATCTACAATAAGAAAATAGAGTACAGGGAAATTAACCACAGAAATATTGTCCGTCGTTTTCCATGGCCTTCCGCCATCTCTCACGTAGCGCACGAATGCCGTCGCGAAAGAAACCTGCAGGCTTCGAAGCAATTGAGACATCGTCGATGCATTTACGCACATCGTCCAACGATTTGAACTGTTTGTCCACTACGACGTGCTCCTGCATCGACCGCAACAAATGGTGATCGGATGGGGCCAGGTCTGGTGAATATGCTGCGTGTGGAAGAACTTCCCACGACATGTTCTAGAGGGTCTTGCGAGTCGCGCGAGCTGCGTGTCTACTCCCTTGCCCCGTAAATTGCCTTTTCTCATCACTTCCTTCACCCAGTTTGCTCAATTATCGTCTGTGGCTTTCCGGAGTCACGATCTGCCAATCAGTTTCCAGGACTTCGTAACAAAGCACACCCTTCATGTCCCATCAGATGTACAGGAGAAGCTTCTTCAAGCGGATGTCTTGTTTTGGCATCGATGCACTCGGATGCTGCCCGATATCTACCCACAACACCTCATTACGTTCGGCATTCTCAATACAAGATATACTCTTCATCACCTGTCACAATTTTCCACAAGACGTCACTTTTTGATGCTGGAGGGCAAGCAGTGAGGAGCGTGGGTTAATTCGTTGGGTGTCGGTCAACATATTTTGGTGGTGGAGGCGGAGACGGGACACAACGTTCAGGCTGTTTCATTTTTCCCACCAGGCGTAAACGCTTGGAAGTAGCTGTTTGGGTGATTCCTAACCGAGCTGCTCTATGCTCCTGTTGCCTTTGCGTTGGGCCTTCATCCCGTAGAGCTTGCGATTCGGCATTTCCACACTTTCGAGATTGCTGTCTGGTGGGTGGGTGGGTGGGTGGTCACTAGGATCGAAATCGCCACTTCTACACATGCTTGTATCAGATATTACACGTTTCATGGATCACACCGTCGACGGCACCAAGAACACCACAAATTGATTCCCGTGTTTTCGAAGCATGTGTGCCCTGTTGGTGGAATTCGTACAACATCCAGTGCCATCGAATGTGGGGTTTATCAGTTGCCATCGTGAACTCTGGCACTGTGAGAGGTTGTGCAAGTCAGGCACGTTGACTAGTCGTTAGATTTTCTGAAACCCCGTGTGCGCTCCTTTCAAAATCACAAAAGACCGCCAAAATGCGTCTAATTTAAATATAATTTTAAGCTCCAAGAAAATAATCTGTGTCAATTAAGTCATACATCTGATAGAATCGATTTCTTGT